GATAAAAGGAATTGTAATGCTGTGAACACATAAACATTGTAGAAAAAGAAACAAGAAAAAAAGACTTTGAAAGCTAGGTGGAATCCCAGCACTTGGGAGGCAGAAACAGGTCGATCTCTATGACATCGAGGCCAGCCTGGTCTACATAGCAAGCTTCAGGCCAGCTTGGTCTACATAGAAAGCTCCAAGACAGCTGTGGCTACAGGGAGACCCTTTCTCAAAAAAAAAAAAAAAAAAAAAAAAAAAAATAAAAAAAAAAAAAAATAAAAAAAAAAAAAAATAAAAAAAAAAAAAAAGACAAAAAACAGAGACCACACCAAGAGTCCACAAACTCATGCACACACACACACACACACACACACACATGTCCCAATTTGTATGTTCAAGTACCTATGGAGGCCAGAAGTCAGGTATTTGCCTCAATCACTCTCCACCTTATTTTTTGAAACAGGATCTCTCACTGAACCTGGAGCTTGAAGGGCTAGACTAACTGACCAAGTCCCAAGGATCATCCTGTCTCTTTCCCATCTCTGGGATTACAGGTACATGCAGCCACACCAAGGCTTTTTGTATAGGTGCTGGAAATCAGAACTCAGGTTCTCATGTTTTCAGAGCAAACCAACTGAGTCATTTCCTCAGTCCCCCATTTATTTTATTTTAGTGTTATTTTTGTTTGATTAATTGATTGATTGATTCAGACAGGGTCTCACTTTATAGCCCCGGCTGGCCTGGAACTCACAGAAATTTCCGTGCCTCTGTCTTCCCCTCCTGAGTGCTGGAATTAAAGCCATGCACCATTTAGGCACCTATTATGTGGTATAGGTATGGTAGTGAATGAGACAAATCCATTGCTTTTAATACAGCATACATTCATTTCTCTTAACTTTGTCCATTATCAGTGCAATGTATTCTCTACTGTCTGAAAGGCCGTCCTTTAAAGCTTTGAGAAAATGCATGGAACATGGTAGTAGAAGATACTAACCTGAAGAAATGACACAAGCCCTAAGAAGATGCCTTCCATCAAAATAAAAATCAGACCTTGGAATGAGACTTTCCATCAGAATGATCCATATATAATGGGGGGGCATGTGGGGGGGGGCTGGAGGGATAGACGACCAAATATATATATATATTTACTTATGTGTATGAGTGTATTCCCTCATGTAAGTGTACCCTTGTAATGCAGTGCCCACGGAGGTCAGAAGAGGGCTATGGATCCCCTGGAACTGGAGTTATAGACGGTTGTTAGCCACCATGTGGGTGTTGAAATTTGAACCTGGGTCCTCTCCAAGAGCAGCCAGTACTCTTAAATGTTGAGCCATCTCTCCAGCCCCTTTTTGGGGGTTTTTGAAAGTCTCCCTGTATAACCCTGACTGCTCTTGACCTTGTGGTGATCCTCCTGCCTCTGCCTCCCCAGTGTTCAGCTGTTTTCTCTGTGAGGTCAACATTTTTTTCTAAGTTTTGTTTTTATTTTAAATTACGGGATGGGGAGGGGTATGTGCAGGTGCCCACAGAGTCCAGAAGAGGGTATTGATCTCCTGGCAGTGGAGTTGGGCACCACCTGATGTGGGTACTGGGAAGCAAACTCAGATCCTCTGAAAGAGCAGCAAATGCTTTTAATGTTCTTAACCACAGAGTCATCTCTCTAGCCCCTGAAGCCAACATTTTTTAGCATACTTAGTATTTCACATAGGTTATTTGTGTTACAGAAGATTGAACCTCAAACCTTGTGCAATCTAGGCAAGCACTCTACTGCTGAGCTATAACCCTAGCTATCTTTTTACTTGTTTTATAGTTTTTTTTTGTTTGAGACAGAGTGGTGCTAAGATGCCCAGGCTAGCTTTAAACTTACTTTGTAGCCTAGGCAGACCTCAAACAAACTTGTGACCCTCCTACGTCAACCTCCTGAGTAACTGGGATTACAGACCCAACTTTCGTGCAAATTATAGAATAACTCTTTAAAGGACCCCACCCCTATCATTTGCACATGAGGAAAACTGAGACAAATTAGTAACTTGTCTGATATAAAATTAGCAAGTGACAGAGTTAAAATTTACCCCAAATTTGTTACACCTGAGTCTGTATACTCTAAAGTCTGGGAAGAGAAGTTGAGTCAGGTAATTTGGATGTATCCTTGCCCTTGATACAATTCCCTAGGCCACAGCCCAGAGATGATATCACTGTTTTGGTGGACATTTTACTATTGGAATTCCCAGGTATTCTTGTAGTTTAAAAAATTCTGCAGTTCTTGGGCTGGAGAGATGGTTCAGTGGTTAAAAGCACTGACTGCTTTTGCAGAGGACTGGGGTTTAGTTTCTAGCACCCACATGGTCACTAACAAGTCTATTAACTCCAGTTCTGGGGATCTGATGCCCTCTTCTGGCCTCGGGAGGCACAGCATACACATGGTATGCTTACATGCAAAAGCAAAACACTCATAAGGAAACCCCCAAATGAGACAGGTTTTCAAGCCAAATAGGGTCTGAGTTCTGAAATTTTCTTGCTATAGTCAAGTGCAGTGCTAAACATACTATAAACCAAAACTTACTTTAAGAGAACAGATGAAGGCTGGGATGTAACTCCATGGTAGGGTGCTTCCTAGCATTCAAGAGGTCCCTGGGTTCAATTCTCAGTACCAGAACAAAAAAGTGGGGAGGTGGGGTGAATGGGCAGCTAGGATGTGGCTCAGGCCCAGGGTAAAGCGAAAGCACTTGTGTAATATGCCTAAGGTCCTAGACTTGGATTTGATCACCAGCACCATAAGAAAAGTAAGTTTTAAAAAAAGTGGTGTCTGGGGGCTTATGAGATGACTCAGCAATTAAGAGCACTTCTTGTTTTTCCAGAGGATCTGGGTTCATTTCTCAACACCATTTCTCAACACCATTCTTAGCTCCAGCTCCAGGGGACCTGACACCCCTCTTCTGGCCTCTGTGGACACACCACAACATGGGTGCACTTACATACATATAGACAAAACATTTGTACACATAAAAAATAAATCAGGGGGGGACGGGCGTAGTGGTACATACCTTTAATCCCAGCACTTGGGAGGCAGAAGCAGGTGGATCTCTGAGTTCAAGGCCAGCCTGGTCTACAGGGCAAGTTCCAGGCCAACTGGGGCTACAGGGAGACCCTGTCTCAAAAATACCAAAAAATAAAAAATAATAAATAAATAAATAAATAAATAAATAAATAGGCTAGAGAGATGGCTCAGCAGTTAAGAGCCCCGGCTGCTCTTGCAGAGGATCCAGGTTTGATTCCCACCATCCACAACAATGGCTAGCAACTGTATGTACTTCCAGTTCCCAGAGAATCTGATGCTCTCTTCTGACCTCAGAGGGCATTACACCACACAGGTGCTCTGACATACATGTAGGTAATACACTCATACACATAGAAAGTTTATTTTTATTTTTAGCCAGGTATGGTGGTGCATGCCTTTAATCCCAGCCCTCGGGAGGCAGAGGCAGGTGGATCTCTGTGAGTTGGAGGTCAGCCTTGTCTACATGGCGAGTTCCAAGCCAGCTGGGGCTACAGGGAGACTGTCTCAAAAAGATAACAAAAAAAGTTTTATTTTTAAATATTTATTTTTCTTGCCTGCATGTAAGCACACCACATGCTTGCAATGCCTACAGAGGTCAGAAGTGGGTGTCGGATCCCATGGACCTGGGGACCATTGTTAGCTACCATGTAGGTGCTGGGAATCGAATCCGGGTCCTCTGGAAGAACAGCAAGTGTTCTTAACTGTTATGCCATCTCTCCAGCCCCCTAAATATTTGTAAAAAGAAAAAAAAATTAAATAGAAATAAAAAAATGAAAGTGAGGTCTGTCCAGAAATTGTGTTTGATAAGGATAAGGCAGGCAGCATTTCCAAAGTCCCTTGGCTCCCTCCTTTACAACTTCTTCAGGACACTGGAAAAGCAACTTTATACTATACTATACTATACTATGCTATACTATACTATACTATACTATACTATACTATACTATACTATACTATACTATATGATGAGGAAGGTCCTAGCAGTCAGAAATATTTTTCACCCACTGATTACCACCTCCTAGGAATTTACACTAAAATTTCTGTAAGTCATGTCCACTGATATTCCCTGCCCTAACAAATCCCTAAGGCACTTGTTAGCTAAATAATTGGTTTTGCAGTTCTCCTGGGAGTTGTTTCCTGTGTTTATAACATTATTGGGGTGGGGAGTGGACTCCAGGTGGGCCAGCGATTAGAAAAATGATGCCTGGGGGGCTGGAGAAATGGCTCAGCAGTTAAGAGGGCTTGCTGCCCTTCCAGAGAACTCAGAATGCGTTTCCAGCACCCACGAGGTGGTTCACAATTGCCTGTAACTCCAGCTCCAGGGGTTCTGACTTCCTCTTCTGGCCACTACAGGCACCCACACATGTGGCACATACATATACACATAAAAATAAACTCTCTAAAAAAACATGCTAGTCTCCTGACATTCCCACTCAGCAAGCTCCTTAGTCCTAGTTGCTTTCTTCCAAGTGCTGCCCCCACACTGAGACCCCAGACTGAGGAGCACCGCCTGTAGTTACGGCAACTAAGGAGGTCTAGGGTGACTTCCAGGGCTCCTGGGATATGAGGGCCACCGGCACCACTAGCAACTAGTGGGGAGAGCTGTTGTCTATGTAGAGGTACTAAAGAAACTGGGGAGGGGGAGGGGACAGGAGGAGAGGAAATAAGGCAAAGATGAGCTCAGGGCCCCCAGAGAATGGAGCCTTTGTGTGGGGGTACAGATGAGGGACAAGGGGGTGATTGTGTGGGAGGACCGGAAGTGCCATGCAAACTGGCACTGCCATAGCTAGTACTGGATTCACCCTTCTCCTGCTCCAAGAACTCCCTATATACCAAGTGGCCAGGGAAAGTAGGATGTACGTAAAAAGCTACAATGAAAAGACAGAAAAGAGAAGATACATCCAGGAGAAATAAGGTGTCCACTATTATCCCAAATCCAGAGGACAGGAAGCAGAAGAAAAAAGACAGAAGCAGCTTTTATTATATTTACATCCAACAAAACTTTGCAGGGAACAATCCTTATTGCACAGGTCAAGGCCATGGATGGGTGAGGCATTCTCCAAGGTAGAGTGAACAAGAAGGGTCAGGACTAGAGGCACCAGTTCTTAAGGGAAGCTTGAGACTCCTCCAGGTCCCAGTGCCTGGCCTTCAAGGAGCTACAAAACAGTGGCACCGTAATTCCCTTCTCTTCCTTACTCTCCTTGAGCATCTCAGAAGCATGGAAGCTGTGGCTCCAGAATAAATAACTTAAAATAAAATACAAACACTATGATTGAAAGGTTTGGAGAGCCTTGGGCTCCTTCAGCAACATCAGGGAAGAGTCCATCACTGGTGGGGAATGGGATCCCTCCCTTCCATTCAGGGCAAAGGCTCAGAAGCCCTGTACCTTTCCAGTTTTTGTTTTGTTTTGTTTTGTTTCCAGTTGTTTTTTAAAACAAAAACTTCTAAGACTACCAGGGCACTGCAGACCTGTCAAGGCCCTGGAGAGGAGTTCCTGAATAGGACAGGGGAGGAAGAGAGTTGTGCCAACTTCTTCCGTTCTCCCAACATCAGCATGAACAAACTGGGCAGGTTGGAGATAGGGGAATTGCGACTTTTGGTAACACTGACTCCTCTTCTGCTGTTCCCTCTTGGAGCATATGGCTGAACAGACTTCCCACATTGTTCCCAATTCCTCTATGAAGGGAACAGGGAAGCAGGTTATATCTAGAATCCTTTCTCCCTCACCTCCCCACTCAAAGCTGGAGAGGGGAGCTTAAGGGCCCTAGCATTCCAGAGGTGCTCCAAAACATTTTCGGCAGTCAATCGCCTTGGGAGTAGGCATCTGTGCCCGTCGTTGCCTTAGTTCCTCCTTGCCCATGCTGCTGGCCAGCTTGTTAAAGGCAGACTTGTACTTCTTGTCGAAGGCCACTAGGGAAGAGGATGGAAGTTGACACATTAGGACCCCAGCCTCTCACACCTGGTCCCACATCCCTAAATCCTCAGCCCCTGCCTGCTTCCTTACCTATGTCCACATGATCCTTGCCCAGAGCTGCCATTGTCAGGAATAAGATCTCACGATAGATGCTCCTATAGTAAAGATAGAAGGGTGTCAGAGAAAAAGAGGTGTGAAGGACAGGTCAAGGGCCACTTAGGTAGGAACATCATACCTCTGCAGGTGCAGGCCAGTGGGAGGGGGTCCTAGAGTTTCCAGCAGAAGCCCCACAGCCTTGTGCACCTCATTAAGTCCAACATGACGCAGCACAGACTCCAATAATGCCAAGCTAAGACATGAAGGTACTGGGCCTGGCCATACCACCCGTTGAGGGATCTGGCCTGGATGAAAGGAAGGAAGGTTCACCAGGATCACCAAACTCTCTAGGTGGGGAGCCTAGCCCTTCCACCCTTGGATCAAATACCAACTCACTGTGGACCCTCCAGAGCACGTAGAGAGGTGGGCAGCTGTTAGGATCAGGGGTCAAGACATCCCACAACAGCCGCACATGCACAGAGGCTGGATCAGGGGTTAACCAAGGAGATGGTGCCTGGGAGAGCTGAGATAGGAAGACAATTAGACTCATAGAACCAGAGAGAGAGACCAGAAATGGACAGGTATGGGTGCTGGACAGATGGCTCAGTGGTTAAGGGCACTGGCTGCTATTGCAGAGGACCTGGGTTTGGTTCCCAGCACCCACATGGAGGCTGACAACCATGCATAACTCCAGTTCCAGGGAATCCAATGCCTTCTTCTGTCCTCTGCAGATATTGCATGACACAGGTACACTTACATACATGCAGGCAATACACTCATACATATAAAATAAATAAATAATAATAAAAAAGAAATGGACAGATAACATTCAAAGAAAGAGGGACATTACAGGAGATGATAAAAGAAGGAGAGGTGCTCTTATCTCCCATCTCTTGCAAGCAAGAACTTTGCTTTGTAATATCCCTGGTACCTAGAACCTAAAAGATGTTCAAAATATTGGTGAATGAACCAGGTATGGTGACACACACCTAGGGTGTTAGTTAGATCCTCTGGAACTAGACTTACAAGCTGTTGTTAGCTGCCTGACATGAGTGATGGGAATTGAACTCAGGTTCTTTGTAAAAGCAGTGTGCAGCTGGGCATGGTGGTATATGCCTTTAATCCCAGCACATAGGAGGCAGAGGCAGGAGGATCTCTGTGAGTTCCAGCCTGGTTGACATAGTGAGTTCCATGCCAGCTAGGGCTACAGAGAGACCCTGTCTCAAAAAGACAAAAAGAAGCAGTGTGCACACACATTTAAGCACTCTTAACTGCTGAACCATCTCTTCAGTCTATGAATCATTTTTAGGTACTAGTTACTGTATCAAGTATTTATGCATTAATCCTGTTAAATTACTGCTTTATGCCATTTTACAGATTACAAATTTGAGGGTCAGAGTGGTTAAATGCAATGGTCAGGCACAACAGACGCCACGGACTGAACGTGCCAAGGACAGAGAGGACTTGGAAGTGAAGAGGTAGGCACTCAGCAAGCACAGAAACACATAAGGGCACTGACCTGGTTGGGTGGGGGCCCATCATAAGAGGCCAGCACTAGGCCTGGTAGAATACTAGGCAGGCGTAGCCGTTGGAAATACCACAGAAGGTTCCAGAAAATGATGGGGTGGGCAGCAGGCAGTTCAGGCAATGCCAACACCTCGCTGCCTTCATTCTCTACCAGCGACTCTAGCTCCTTACGCAGCACCAGGGGGCTTAGGTATGCCCATGCCCCACTCTCAACCCGCCGGGAGACACCCTGTCAGGCACAAAGCAGGACAGCCTCTGGGGTATATACTAAAGCCCCAAACCCAGAGCCTTATTTCCCACTGAGTCAGAAAATCTAAGTCTCTGGGAGGCCCCTTGTCCTCAATGCCCATCTGCATGACACCTCTCAGCCTCCCCTCAACAGGGCAATACACTCCCATTCCTCATGTTTATCTGGCCCAGCCCTTACCCCCAAATGTCCATTGCAGAGCTGGGGTTCATCCAAGGCAAGACAGAGCCTTCGGTCACTGAGCACAGGGCCAGGACCCCCAGGGACAGGAGCATCTTTGCTACCACTGGCACTGGCAAGGGTAGACTTAGGGCTAGGGGCACTGCAGGGGGACAGCAAGGGGTGTCATCAGCTCTTTGGCGTACCACCTGCCTGTCCCACCCACAGCATTTGTCCTGATTTGGGCACCTAGGTCGGGAATCAAGGGTCTGGACACTGAGGAGCGGCACAAACGGGCAGGCGCAGAAGGGGCAAATTGTGTTGAGGTTGGAGTCATCAGGTGCCCAGCCAGCCATGATTTCCTCATCATACACCAGTGAATCACAGGCACGACACAAGGAACAGCTAGACAGCAGAATCTGCAGGCAAGGAGACCCCAGGGAATGAGCCTCGCCTGGCTTCCGGGGCTGTGAAGCCCATCCCTTTCCCTACCCTTTCCACCTCAAAACCTCAACCAGGCTTCCTTCGACCTCCTCCCCTTCCCCTGCCTTTTCCAAGGGGAGAGGCAAGCTATGTGTGTTCCAGCACAATTATGTAGGTGGGGTTATCCTCACTTCCAGGGAAGGTGGCTGAAAGGGTCCAGGAGTGTCACTGAGGCGCTCTGAGGAATGGCGGAGACTCAGACTGCTGAGAGAAGACTCTGAGAGATCCCACTCACTGCCCAGTGAGGCTGAGCTCTGCCATTATACAAGAAAGCACAGTCAGCCAGGCCTGTCTCACTCAGAATACTAGCTTTAGTCATTCTCAGGGTATTTGGGGGACATTCTCTCAGTTGGCAGCCCCTCCCTAGGTTTCTGGACCCTTTTCTCTCATTGGCTACCTCAGAAGCAGTGGATCCAGGGCGTTCTCGGGGCCACAGAAGGCTATCCATGGGACTGCGACGGGCTACAGGAGGAAGGTCAGGGGACAACTCTGGTGGGGGGATGCGGGAGGCAGAGGAGCGGCGGGAAGGAGTGAGCAGCTGTTGAAGGCGGGCACCCAGTCCTCTTCTGGGGGTGCCTGCCTCCTCCTGCCATCCTCCAGTTTTGGGACCTCTCCCACTTAGCCCTTCTAGGGCCTCAGTGGACTGGGCACTCAGGGCCGAGCCTGAGCCCCCTGGACTGCCCCCAGATGCCAGCTCTTCCCCTGTCAGGCTCAGGTCTGAAAGGCTTCCATCTTGCCAAGGCACAGGTGATCCACGGGGTTCTAGGACCCCCAAGGCTTCTATCACTGCAGGCCAAAAGAGAATTGAAAGATAGAGCCTAGTTCTCTTCCAACTGCCCTTTTCCTGAGTAAACACAATTCTTGCTGCAAAAACTCTAGCACCACAATTCACCATAACATTCTAGGTGAGATTCTCTGAGTCTAACCATTACACATAGCCACCCTCAACCCTGGCCCTAGTCTTCCCCTCTCTCACTTGAAGGTGGTTTTGCTCAGTGGGAGGAGGAAGGTCAGGAAAGGGTACTCACTGTGAGCCACACCAGCCTCCACGGTAGGCTGTGCCCCTCGGGCACTGCCTAGGCTGCCACTTTTGACCAGGCGCCCAGCAGGTGAGGCTGGTTCCCGAAGACTTCGGCCAGCCCAGGTAGTCTGGCGCTGAAGAGGGCGGGTTGGGGAGGGGCGCTCCAGATAGGACTCTGTAGAAGGCAGAAGAGTTTACCCCTGATTCTGAGGCAGCCCCTTGGGTGAACCTGGGTTTTGCAGGATTTGTCTTAGGTAGAACTTTACACCCTTTGCTACCAACAAATGAAGTTTATCCATCCCTAGGAATCTCATGTCAACCAACAGGTCAGTCCCAGCTCTTCATGTCTCTCCCCATATGAACCTAGCTACCACATCCCCAAAACTGTCTTTTTTAAAAAAATTTATTTTTGTTTTATGTGGAATGAGTGTTTTTGCCTGCATGTATATAAGGTCACCACATGTGTGCAATGCCCATAGACGCCAGAAGAGGGAGTCAGATCCCATGGAACTGGAGCTGTGGACCATTGTTAGTCACCATGTGGGTACTGGGAATGGAACCTGGGTCCTCTCTGCAGCAGCTAGTATTCTTAACCACTGAATCATCTCTCCAGCCCCTCTGTCTGTCTCTGTCTCTGTCTCTCTTTGATACAAAATCTATGTATGCCAATCTGACCTGTAACTCATTATGTAGCACAAGCTAGGCTTGAACTTGCAGCAATAAATCCTCCAGCCTTAACAGGATTAACTTCTCTTGTGCTAGGACTGCAGGCATAAGCCACCATGCCTGGCACCAAGGCTATCTTTTCAGTCCCTACCCACCTGTCTGAGAGCTGCCTCTTTCTTGGTGCGTGGCCATCTGTTGCTGCTGCTGCTGCCGCCGCCGCTGCCGCTGCTGTTGCTGCTGCCGCTGCTGCTGCTGCCAACGTTCTTTCAAGGGCTGGCGGAACTGAGCAGCTCCGAGGACAACATTCCGGAGCTTGGCCCAGCGTAGGCGCCCACCTGGTGTACCAGACGGCCACTTGCTTTCCAGCACAGCCTGCCAATCACAGTGCCCACTAGGATGGACTAATGATGCCTTACCTCCTGTTCTGAGTCCCAGGGACCACCTTCCCCTCCAGACATGCTGCCCAGGAGTATCTAGCCAATGGCTCAGTCAGGAAAAAGAGCCCAAAAGAAGCATTTATCAGGAATAATGGAGAAAATGTGTGGCTAAACATTCTTTGTATAGTGAATGGCTTTGAAGGAATAATCTCAATTGTTTGGCTATTTAGTTTCCTCATCTGAAAAACAGGAGGAAGTTGAGTATCATGGTTAGGAAGCTGAATTCTGAATATGCCTTTGCTCATAGTCTGACCCCTTAATGTGTTTATTGTGGGACCTTAGGCAAGTTATAAATTCTCTGCAACCTCAACTCCTATAAGATGGAGAATGATCATTTCTATCCCATGGGGCACTGTGGAGATAAAATGATTTAAAATGTGTAATGTATTTGAAACCGTGTCTGGCATACTGGCTAACACTATTAAGAGTTTGGGACTGCTATAAATGAGAATCAAAGTAGCTAAGTATTGAAAAACAAAACAAAACAAAACAACTTTTGCCAGTGCAAAAACACCAGACAAGTACAACAGACAGTGACAACAGACCTGGTAGAATTGTACAGGTCTGGCAGGGCATGGTGGCGCACAACTTTAGTCCCAGCACTCAGGAGGCAGAGGCAGGCGGATCTCTGTGAGTTCAAGGCCAGCCTGGTTTACATAGTAAGTTCAGGTCAGCTGGGACTACAGGGAGGCCCTGTCTCAAAAAGACAACAACAACAACAAAAAGAATTGCACAGGTCTAATCTCCAAGGACTGAGGACAGCAGTAGCTGAGAAGCAGCATCCTCTCCACACAGATCCCAGCACAGACTGCCATCCTACCTCTTACCCCAAATTAAGTACCTTGTTGTAGTAACCATAAGTGATTGTGTTGGGCACGATGCCAGCCCGCCGCATCTCCAACATGACTCGAACAGACAACACAGGCTGCCCATAGTGTGAGCAGAGCTGCATCAGTACTCGGTAACACACCTGAGCCAAGAGAGGCACAGGAGTAAGAGACTTAGTCCTAACCCAAATCAAGTCTCAGCAAGCACCCTCTTCCAGCCTCCCAATTCTCACAGACCTCACTGGTCCCTGGCAGCTCCTTCCTGCTGTCCTGTAGTCTCCATTGCTATCCCCTGAGCATGTTCATTCACTTTGTCAATGTTTATGGAGAATTTGTTTGCCTGTGGGCTGCCCATCCACTTTCCCTAGTTTCTACCAAGTTTCCTTCTCATAGCCCTTATGATTGCATATCCTTGCTGGTACCAGGGGTAGGCATGACCACTTATATAGTGGTTGCCTACCTCATCGGGGAGTACCACTTTGCGGCTCTCCATCTCACGCAGAACATGGTAGGCTGTGTGCAGTGCTCGTACCCGAGAGGGTGCTGAACGCACATAGGCAGGCAGGCAGAGGAACCACAGTCCATAGCAGTGCCCCAGAAGGCACCGGGCCCACAGCTCAGGCACAGCTGCTGACTTCTGTGCCATCCGCTGTGCAACCTTCATCTCCTAGGTGGGGCAGGGGATACACCAAGGTGAATACAATGCCAGGGCAGATCTTTTCTTCCATTCTTTTGTTTTTGAGATAGGGTCTTGCCATATAGCCCAGGCTGGCTTCAAACTCATGATTGTCAATCTCTTGAGAATAGGGCAGGTCTTAAAGCAGAGGGAGAAGCAGCACCTTCCCTGAGAAAGGGTCTGTGCTCTAAGGAGGTAAGAGAGATGACTGCATAGGCTACAATGCTCCCTGGTGCCTTGGGCAGTGGGGCAGAGTAGCCTGGCCCTACAGCCTGGGCCAGTGCCTTGGAAGATGCAGCCAGCTCCTGTATTCCTCAGAGTGCCCAGGGATGAAGATGAAGAGGATTATGATGAATGACAATGGTAACAAAAGAGTTTATACAGTGCTTTTTTTTTTTTTGAGACAGGGTCTCCCTGTGGTCCCAGCCGTCTGGAACTTGCTATATAGACCAGGGTGGCCTCAATCTCATAAGGATCCTCCTGCTTCTGCCTCCCAAGTGTTGCGATTAAAGGCGTGCACCACTGTGCCCAGATGTACAGTGCTTCCTATGTGCAAGGCTTATGGAAACCTACCTACAGTTTTATGGGGTAAGTACTATTATCTCTTTGGACACATGAAGCAACAGCAGCTGGCCTGTGCCAAGTTCCCTTGTGGAGCCCACCTGCTGGTTACCTGTTTGGTACGGCGAGGGGCAGGACTGCTAGGGGCACTACGAGATGGGCCTGGCACAGGCAAGGCCCCCTGTTGTTCTTGAGGAGACTCAAATAGCTCAGCTCTTAGCTCTGGGAACCCATCGTAACTGGAGAGGCAGAGACAACATGGAGGCAGTTGACACAGGGCCAAGCAAGTATGAACCTTGCAACAAATGAAAAGAGAGTAATTCCTACCAGTACTGTGGTATAGATTCACTGCCCTCCAGTACTGGAGGCTCCTCTGGGGGTGTGATGAAGACAGTGAGCTCACTTCCTGACAGCTCCTCCAGCTCCACTAAGGGTGTTGGCTCCGGCTTTTCCTGCTCTGGGTGGACCTGAAACAGGATGGTTAGAGAGTAATAGTTAAAACATTAAGTACTGAAGAAAGCCAGGATGCCCGAAGATACCAGAAAAGCACATCCACAGGGAAGACATGCTAGGGATCTATCTGGGAGCACAGAGTCAAGAATAAGGGGATAGTAGATACATGAAGCCAGCATGCATGGCTGCATAAGCTATGCTTTATATAACTCCAGGAGTGCCATCACAGTCACAGATGAGACACACAGTTGTGTTTACAGTGGCCAAAGAACAAAACACAACTTGAAGGAACTCAGAGGTCAATGGGTACATATAGAAAGGACAATGCCCGGAGGCTGGAGAGATGGCTTAGTGATTAAGAACACTGGCTGTTCTTGCAGAGGACCTGGGTTTGAATCCCAGCACCCACATGGCAGCTAACAACTGTCCGTAACTCCAGTTCCAGGGGCTCCAACAGCCTCTTTTGACCTTATACTTACACACATGCAGGAGTAACACTCATATACATAAAAATAATTAAAAATTTAAAAAAAAAAAGGACGACGCCCAATACCTTGTCAACACAAGAGTCAAAGAATTCAAGGGCAGCATGCCGAGCAGAGCCAAAAGAGCATTCCTCAATGAACTGTGAAAACATCTGCGTGTGCAGCAGCTGAGAGTACAGTTTGTGGCTTGAGCGTTCCCGGGACTTGAGGAAACCTGAGGGGGTGAGAACAGGTTTTGAAGGAGCATTACCATAGCTCTCTACCACAGCCATCCTCTCCCTGCACCCTGCTCTTGGCTCTATGCCCACTCAGAAGCCATGGCTATCAAACTTTCATCTCCTTGGTCTCTGGCACATCTACCTCACAGATCAAGTGACCAGTTCAGTTCTCCAGCACCACAGTTTCATGGAATTAGTTCCTTTTGTCTGTCTACACCCACTGCTGCAGACTGGGAATTCTCCAAGGTCAAGTCCCTCAACAGATCTGTACCCATGATTGCTGCTTACCACCGGAGTGACTATGTCCACCCCATGCCAAGGGCTCCCAGACAGCAGCACACATCTTACACATTCTTGTACCTTTACTCCCTCTAAAACCAGAAGAGTGAATGGCTCAAAGCAGGTGCCCATAAAAACATTTACTGAGTGAGGGAATAAGCAACAGTAGTCCCCAGCCAGCCCCGCCCCACTTTCCTCATGGAGCCCAGCCCCCTAACCATTTGCTCTCTCAAGAGAAGACAAGCCCTTTATTTACCCTGAAGGTAGAAAAGGTTGTCAACATCACGAGAGCCCTCAGAGGGGGCCTGGGTGAGGGGGCGCAGAAAGTCCCGGTAGCCTTTGAGCAGACAGGCCATGAAGCGCAGGAAGGCTCCCTGGACTTCCCGCTCCAGGCGTGCCCTACGGCCACACACTGCCTCGTAGTCTGTCAGCAGGAATTCCAGGGAGGCCTCCTCCTCTGGTCCAGTGTAAGCTGGGAATCAATACACTGAGAGTCAAGACCAGCACTCACAGTGCTGGCCTCACCTTGTTTTTCACACCAGTGTCTCCATCTCTACCACCAGCCTTGGACAGACCTTGCACCAGGAATGGCTGAAAACCTACCTTTCAAGTACCACTTTCAAGCTACAGTGACAGGCTCAACTTTCTTGATGCATTCAGGAATGCTGCCCGCCCCTTCATCTTGTTTCCACCAAATCTGAACTCCTCTAACTTCCTTAGGGAAGGTCTACTGCCTCACAGACATCCGCCTGCCCCCAGTCTGAAGGTTTGAGACCAACAACAGCTCTCAGCCTCCCAATCCCATTAGGCTTCTCACTCTGGTCCAGCTGCTGGTACAAATTTGTCAGTGTAGCCAGTAAAAGCTTGTAGGGTCTGCGTGGCAGGGTCCTAGCGGAGAGGGGCTTCTTTTCTTCTGTCCTGAAGATAACATAGGAGAAAGGATGTTGCAGCTTGTCCCAAGTCTTAAGCTCCTTTTATGCCAGTTACAACGCCAATAGCAGCCCTTGCATGTTCACCTCCCTCTAGCTCCTAAATGAGACTTGGCCTCTTACTGGAAAAGTGTGTTGGTGTCAAGATCAACACAGATGACATCAGCAGGTGGGTCGTGCAGATCAAAATAGCTGGAGTGGATACCCACAATGAAGGGCACTGGGGCACTCAGCACATCCGCCAGCACCAGCGGGCACAGCGGAATGTAGGGGCACTGCCAGTGCAGCGGGAAGATCATCTAAAGTACCAGGGAGTAAGAACATGTGAGCACAGGGCATTGGCCTTGGAGAGGTGGTGCTTGTTGAAAGAAGCCATTGGAGGTTCAAGCCTGCCCCTGACACCTACACCCAGGGAGACTGATGGAAGACCCTCCCCTCGAAGCAAAGGAGAAGAGTCCAGATCTGGATGGAAGAAAGAACAGTAGTTCTAGAGAAGTAGACTAGAGAAGCTGGTACTCACTGAGACAAGGGCCTCACAGACGCTGGTGAGCAGGTCTGGTCGCAGTGAGTGGACCAGCAGTTTGTGCTCTGTGAGCACAGCCAGCAGCAATGTAATAGCCAGCTCAGGGCCCAGGCTCTGCAGCAGCTGCAAAAAGCTAGCACCACTGCAGACAGTGAAAGAGGAAAGGGTCACCAGGAGACTCTAGAGACTCTTCCCCAGACATAGGACACAGACAACCACCTGGGTCAGCCTGCACAGATCTCCACAGCTGCACCCATTTGACTGGTACCTACTATATCTTGGTCATCAAAGGCCCCCTCCCACCCACTTAGGCACATACCTGAGGGGCAGGGGTGAGGACACAGGTTGACAGAGAAGCAGGTTGTCATAGGGAGACATCTGAGAGAAGAGCCACAGGTCAGAATGCTCATGGCTAGCCCCCGACAATTCCTCCTTTCATCCAGCCTAACCCCAGGCTCAGTTCTCACCTGCACTAGGATGCGTGGTCTCTGTGGAGAAGGGAATGGGACGTTGTGAATGAAGTGTGAGATGTGCCTAGGGAGAGAGGGAAAAGGTGAGGCAGACTCTCATTTACCCCTGTTCTACCCCACCACAAATTCTCATCTCTTTCTCATATCCTCAAGAACCTCACTTCTTCCTGAACCCCACCTCTAGACTTGGATCAGTTTTATACATAGATCTTAATGCAGACCAGAAAAGAGATCCCCTCACTAGACTGTAGATACACATCTACATCTACACAGCGAGTCCCAGGCTAGCCAGGACTACACAGTGAGACCCTGTCTCAATACAACAAAAACAAACAAAACAAACCAGATTCCCAATGGGCATACCCAGCCCTTTTCAAGACCCAACTAACAAGTACAGGCTAGATTTCAGGCCCCATTCACTTCTAGCCAGATGCTTAAGTGGACCAACTATACAACGACATACTCCAGCCCTGCCCCTGGGTGCTTAGCTACCCCTCCATCTCCAATCTAATGTCTCCCATTTTCCTCCCTAATGCCTCATAACTCCTTCCCAGTGTTATGGGAACCATGCTCACGCTTCCAAGGGCAGGCGATGAGGGCCTGAGACCGAGTAGCGGTAAAGGAAGGTAAGGAAGGCTCGGAAGGCTGGGAAGGCAGGCCAGCGGGACAGTACAGCAATGGCTCGCCGGCTGCGCACAGCTCGGCCCCCCAGTGCCCGGCCCCGTTCCACAGCACTCAGCAGGCCCAGTGCCCGTGCCTGCCTCTCTGACAGCCTGGCCCTAGGGAACGCTTCGTAGAACTGCAGGGCGGCACCATACACCTGGAAGAGGTACAGGGATGATCAGATGGGCTCTGCATTACCTGGGTCCCTTACCACATTCTGCACACCCACCTTATCACCAGCAGCACCCGTGAGCACAAAGGTGGAGAAGACAGGCACCGGGTACTTGGTCTGGGCAGGCCAGCACTCGATAGTGGCCCCCATGGGCAGGCAGAAGACGGGCACTGACTCGGGCAGCGGGAATGCCTCATTGTCCTCCTCTGGGTAGCGGCCCAGCAGCTCTATACCCCAGCAGAGTTAAGAGTACCCATAAGAGTGAGGGGAACCCATCAGATTCCAGGGAAAGGGACTAGGGGATACCAGAGAAGGGCCAAGTGGCAAAGGGAAGTAAATTCTGGGGTCACCAAAGTTACCAGCCAAGAGGCACCAAAGCAGAGGAATGGACAGTCAAAGTGTAAGTAGGAGAAAGGGTAGACTCACCTGCCTCATACACCAGTGTGTTGGCCTTAGCCAGGCCCACCTTGTAGCACAGGTATACTGCTGGGCCCCACTGCCCCAGGAACGAAAAGAGATAAGTAGACACATAACTGACAAAGGTTTCTGGAGTCCATTTTCTCTCTACACACTTGAGTTGTCTTTTGTCTTCAGAGCTACGCCCTAATCCCAGTCCTCCAAGCCAAGTCACCTCTGGTCTGTCTCTGGTGTCAGGGAAGGTCCCCCAAATGCCATTTCTGCCCAGTGTCCATACCCTCACACTAATGGCCCAGGTCTTAGCTCTTAGTAACACTCACCATGCCAGGGTTAAGATTGCGGGGCAACCGGCAGTAAGTATGAGGAGTGCCTTCACCCTTGCTGGGCAGTACCAGGCAGAGGTCAGTGATGCCCAGGGCATGCAGCCCTGCCCCCTCTGCTGCCCGCCGGTACATGAGGTAGGTGCGGGGGTGTCCAGGGCCTGGAGGGGCCAGGTTGGCCGAGTGGCTATATGGTGTCGTGTCGAGCACTTGAAAACCAAGCTTGGGTCGTTCCTTCCCCTCATACAACACCCTTGGCACAGAGAACAGACATGTCAAGAGGTCAGGATAGAAGAGAAAGACCCCAATCCCAACAGATCTGCCCACCTGGCCTCCTAAACCTGTCATGCACCCTTGTCAAATTCTGATAGTAAGGTCCATGCCCTCTTTTTGCTGAACTCTGTCCTCCAAAATCCTTGCCCTCTTCTGTCCTTGACTCTATTTTCTCAGTCAGTACAACCCCTCCATCCATGCCTTTCATAGCTCTCTCATGAATAAACACTAAAAACTGTTAGACTATTTGCTAAGTTCCTCACGTGGTTATCCCATTTCATCTTTGGAACCACCCTGTGAGGAGTTAGTTTCCCCACTTTACAGATGAGGGAACATGTCCTGGCTAGTATGCAGCAGTACTGGCATGTGAGCCCAAATCTAAGAGGACTAAGTACATGCAACTTGAGTCCTTCTTCTGACCCCTGCTCCCATTCTGCTCCTGTTCCCATACCCCTCCCCTCAACCCATATCATGATCTCTTTCTAGCTCACCTAAAGGTCCCTCCCAATATTCCCTGGTGCATGGGTAGGGGTACACACCCCAGCTCAACGAGGGGGGGCTTGTCACGCCCCCTACGGTAGCAGATGACTGGTTGAGTTCCACCCAGGAGCCCAGCACTGAGTTCCAAGGGGTGGCCCCCAGCAGAAGCCTGGATGCACGTGTAACCCTGGGGCACTTCCTCGCCCAGTGCCCTAGCGATGACTGCCACATCTGTGATAGGCTCTGCTGGCCTGGGAGGGCGCAGGGGCCCAGTGGGTTCAGGAACCCATGTTTCCTCAGGTATAGGAGCTCCGTTTCCAGCGAGCCCAGCTACCACAAAGTAATCCACCAGCCGGGGGGGCCGCTCCTCCGCCATAGCCCCCCCTTCACTCACGGCATCTGGAATGATCAATTGAGGAAAAGATGGAGCAAGAGAGGCTGCTGTTTCCATGGCAACTAGAGGTGCCCCACCCCACCCCTTCTTTCTTTTTCCTAGTCCTCCCAAGGAATAAGGGATCAGCCAATCCTGAACTGCCCTGTCTGTGACATCATCAGGCTCCCACAGCTCCTCAGAGACCACCAGGTCCCTCCCTCTTAGTGACATCATTCCTTTTTCTCCAAAGAACCCAAACTCCACTCTATCACACACATTTGACATCATACTGCTTTCCTAACCCCTTTAAAAGCCTGACCCTCTTCACCTTCTACAAACAGTTACATCACAGAGGACACAGTATTTTCTGTAATGGCCTGCAATGACATCATTCATTCTGGCTGCCACATCATACCAACCTTAGCCTTTCAAAAGTCTCTGACCTTCCTGCTCTAGTTATAACATCATAAGCAGCTAACACTGATGCAGCTAATACTCTTAAAACATTCATTCCTAAGTTTTTAGAAGACCCCACTGGTTTCTGGAAAGGATCACAAAACCCAAGCTTTTGTGTCTGCTCATCAGACTTCAAGTGTCCTTTTCTCTAGTTTAACTCCACCTATCTGGCCAAATCACCAGTGCCCTTCTACCTCTGGATCCTTACTTGCCTGCAGTTCGGTAGAGAAAGGACTGTGGGAAGACAGTTCCAGCTGTTCTATGTCCTGTACCACACAGCCCCAAGACACAATCAGGCCCACAACAGTCTATTATAGGTAACTGTTTTCTCACCTGCCTCCATGGCCTGACCCCGGGGAGTAGGAGCCCCAAGAGTCCTGAGGTGCCCCAGGATGCTGAAGGTGGGAAGGAGCTTGGTTCGCAGGGGGCTAGAAGGCTGGGGGAGTGCTTCAGAGGGGAAGGGAGGTTACTTCCTGAAACCACGGAGGGGAAGCTGCAGCTCAGCAAAAGTCAGCCTATGGGTGTGTGTGGTAGCATTGTGGGTGGGGGGTGGGGGCACTGTTGAAGGTGCCAGCACAGCATCAGATCAAGCCAGAACCTTGGACTAAGGACCCTGAGCAAGGCAGAGGAGGCTCCCAATGTCTCCAGGATGCACAGTCTTAACCTCTACTCTTCCCCAAAGTACACCAAGCTAGAGAATCTCCTGGAGCCAGGCGGGCTCTCTTCTTAACCTGGCCTCTGGACAGAGATGCCCCAACCCCAGCTAAATTTAGCCTCCATGTCTGGGAGGTGAAGCCAGGAGTCCGCGTCAGTCTCCTGATTTAACTCGAGGACACAGGTCCCTCTCTCATCCACTGTAGGCCAATAGGAGCTCTATGTCCCAGACAGCGGGCAGAAGCCGTTAGGTGGGATCGTCTGAGGGCGAATGGCTGCGCCAGGTCCCGGGACATTCGCATCGGGGACTTCCCTCACCCAGCTAGGGGACAGTCCTACAGAGAGGGCAGCCTTTTCCGACTTGGGGAAATCAGCAGGCACAGGCACCAAACCGGGTCTCAACGCCCACATGCCGGACGAAGGGAAGTTGGGGTTAGGGCAGAGGGCGCGCGTCGAGGGGAGGAGGCTGAGCAAGGAGGAGAGCCGAGAAAGGCGCCCGCGGACTGCCAAGGACGTGACGGCAGCAGCGCCAGGGTCGCGTGACCCTGGCAAGAGGGAGGGCTGCTGGGTTACGGCACCCGCGGGAGCAGGAGAGCGCAGGGTGCTGGGCACAGCCAAGTCGCGGTTGCGCCCTCCCCTCCACTTTCACTTCCCCAGCCTAGAGGAAGCGGAACCAGATGTGCGGTGCTGGAGCACAGCTGGGGACTGCCCTCTCGGACCCTCCCTCCGCGCTTCCCCGCCCGC